TGAGGTTTGGTGTGACTCCAGAGGATCACTTGAATGAAACAGGGCTGAAGTCCAGCCCTCATTGAGAAATGGTCAGAACAGAACCCAAAGGAGTGAGAAGGAGACTGGAGTTAGGCCAATAACCCTACAAGGTGGCAAGAAAGGACCAGAGAAGATGACAGGACAGAGCGAGAGATCTGGATAGCAGATACTTCTTATGGTGAATTTGAGGAAGCACCAATGAGGTTCTCAGACACTGCATGAGAAAGTGAGGGTGAGGTCTAACTTAGCAGAAGATCTACAAGGGTGTATGTCATTAGGTGAATACACCTGAGGGCAGTAGCGTTCCAAGAAAAGTGGAAGACTCATTCCCAAAATGAAGGGAAAAGCGAAGGGAACATACCCCACAGCAGGCACCACAATAAACATCCTAATTACGTATAAACAGTTACCCACTGGGAGATCAAAGGGACTAAAACAAGTTTCAAACCTCAACCAGTTCAAATGAGTTAATGTGATATTCAAAGATAGTGATGTGCAGGCTGCAGGTCCAGACACCCTGTCAGACATAAACATTAGATTGCCATGCAATGGCCTCCTGGAAATCAAATGTGTAAAAATGCTTGAATCTGGTACCTGAATTCTAGAATTGGTGGGGGGGCAGTGAAGGATTAAAAGTTGGAAAGTGGGGCCAGCTAGCTCCACAGCAATGGAAGGCAAAACATCACAGAAACAAAATGACCAAAGAACTGCGGATGCTGGAAATCAGAAACAAAATCAGAAATTGCTGGAAAAACTCAGCAGGTCCGGCAGCATCTATAGAGGGAAAGCAGAGTTAACATCTTGGGTCCTCTGAAGAAGGGTCACTGGATCTGAAACATTAAGTGATTTCTCTCCATAGATGCTGCCAGACGTACTGAGATTCTCCAGCAATATCCGTTTTTGATCCAAAGATTTTTAGCAATTTCCCCAGAGACTACTGACACTCAGGGTCATCAAAACTTTACAAAGGATTGAATTTCTTCCCTGCTAAAGATCTGGCTTCAGAATTCCCTCAAAAGGCCCTCTGTCACTGACTGCCTCAATGAATGCTCATGCTATGCTGTTCACTCTCCCAATCAGACTGCATTCCACTGGATTCTGGACACTGCACATTAGCACCTCTTCACAGACAAAATTTTAGCTTTTCTCCGGACTGCCAGCCTCACCAAGCAAGTACTGCTGCTCTGTTTCTCCAAGTTCTAATCTTGTGGACCTCTTATAACCTTGCTGTCAATTGCACTGAACTATCAATGGCACACATCTTCTTCTGAGCCTCCACAGCTCCAGGTCTTCTCCCAACCCTAAGATTTAGTGGCACCTTCCAGCCCCACAGACTTCTCCTGATTCCTAATGACTTGGAACCTACGACAGAAGCAACTGTTTGGGATGGAACCTGCTCCTAAGTACCTAACTGACTGAAGGCAACAATTTTCTCTTTCTGACTGTAAGCATCAACAGACCAAATTGACTTCAGTCATCCTTGAACTGTTCTGAGTGACTATTGAAAATCTCACAAACCCTGCCCTTGTTTCAAGACTGTAATGAAAATAACCAATATTTTGGAACAGTCAAATGTAGCAACAGTGTGAAACTGTCTATTCCCTGAATTTTACATTATTCAGATTGCTGGCTTGCACCTTACAAAACAGTTACAAAAACAGTATTTCATCAAAACATGCCGCACTACTTGCTGGGAGTTGCCCAAATATGAAGACCTGGCTATTTTATTAACTGTGCAGTGGTAAGTCCTATTAGCATTCATGGGCAGATGCATCTACAACAGTGCAGAACAAGTAGGTTTTTTTGACTCTTGTTGGCTCTCTCGCAACAGCTGCCACTGGCCCTGTCTGGCAGATACCTAACCAGTGTGGTCACTACCTAACAAGTTACTTTGTGCAGAGGTCATTGAAGTCTCCCATCCAGATTGCATTCAGTGCCCATGTTACACTTACTGTTCAACATGGAGAAGTACTGGAAAGAAAAGTGGGAAGGAGGGAGGTCACAAAAGAACAGTGTTGGACCCACTTAACAATCTATATTACTGATTTAGACTTCAGAAACAAAAAAACATTGTAGCAATTCGCAGAAGCCACCAAATAGGTGAGACAGTCTGTGCTGAGGAGAGCAACAAGAAATTGCAAGAAAGTATTAATAAATGTGTACATCAGACATATATTTAGCAAATAGATTTCCGCACAGATAAGAAGGAATAATATTTTTGCAAGAGCATTATGGTTTGTATTACTGAGAAAATGGAATTTTAAAAATATACAGAAAGAAAGATACATTCACACAACTCACTAAAAAAAAGCACAGGTTATTCCTATCAAAACACAAACCAAGTAATAGGATTTATTTCTGGAATGACTGAACTGAAAAGTAGCTAAGTTCTGCTAAAGTGTAGCAAACTTTGGTTTGACTATATATGGTACTTCGAGTAACATATGGTTGCTATATTCTATGAAGGATTAAGGCATGAGAGAAGAGCAAAAATATATGTAAAAAGATTGTACCAGAAATGCAACATCACGTCCATCTGAAAAATAAGATGTGTCTATTCTCTTGAAGAAAGGTTAGTGGATGACCTAATAACAGTTTTCAAAGTTATGGAAAGCTTTGAGAAAGTAACGATAGACAGAATGTTTTCACTTGGGCAGAAGAGCAAACCTAAAATCTGACAATCATGAAATTGGATGGGGGTTTGAGAAGAACCTACTTAATCTCAAAAGTGTAGCTGAAATGAGCATATTGGCATTCAATGGCAGGCTAGATCACATGTAAGGAAGAAGGAGTGTGGAATTATCCTGAAACTATTAAATGAGGATAGCAAGAAGCTCCAGTGGAGCACAGACAGCAGGTTGGGCTGTTGTAAGAAGAGTCAGTCTGGACTGGAAAGTTTCTCTCTCCGCAGAGGCTGCCAGACCTGCTGAGTTTCTCCAGCACTTTCAGATTTTATTTTAGATTTCCAGCAGGATTTTGTCTTTTTTTGTCTTTAATCTGAGTGACGGGTGTGATCTGAATGCTAATGCGCGTACTGCATGTAACTGGCAGAATCACAGAATTATTACACGGCAGCATTAGGCCATCCTGTCCGACCAACCTCACACACAATACCACTCTCCTGCATCCCCTGCGCATTGTCTAATTCCCCTTTCAATACCTCTATTGACCCTGCCTCAGCAAACGTCCAGGCAGTGCATCCCAGACCCCAACCGTGCCATGTGTAACGTAAGTCTGTCCTCATTCTCTGTACAAGTTGTGCTTTTTAAAAAAATCTTTAATCAGGGAGCGTCTCTCGCACGGTTGATCTGCCATCTGTTAACCTCCCGTCTCTCCACCTGAAGGCGTCGGGAGCAGTTATTGCTGCTCTATTCTGTGGGCTCCTGTGTAATGTTGGGGACGTCCGGGCTGAGCTGGGAGAGTTTGCACGCAGAGGAGGTCAGTGATTGCTGTGTGATCTGAGCGCCCAGCGGCTGTGGGAAAACCGCAAGAGCAACAGAAACACAAAAGCGCCGCGGCAAAACAATCCTTCAAAAGATTTCTTTCTTCCAGGGGAAATGTTTAGCTAATCGTTTCAGCTAATGATGCCCAATTTTGAATTTTTTTTTTAATAAGGAGCCAAAAGATTTGGAGGGAAAAGAAATCTTGCGGCTTTTGAGTGCTTGCGACTCAGCTCTTGTTAGATCAGAAAGCTCTGGGGTTGAATAGTCTCTCTCTAACACACACACACACAGAGAGAGAGAGAATTCCCCTCCCTCCCGCAGTAATCGCTTCTCCCCTCGGGTTTGGCAGCTCTCAAGTGCCGGCCAAAGACAAAACAAATCCCACGTGATGTGCCAGAGCATTAACACGGCCCCGAACCAGGGCCAGATGAAAGGCTTCAGTTTGAGGCAAAATTAATGTGCCTCTCCTTTAGTCTAGACAAGCAAGAACAGAGGGGGCTGCCCTCGCCAGCCTTTCACTGCTTCCACACAGCGACCCCACCCCCTTTCCATCTCGACATTCAGAGAGAGAGGGAGTAAAAAGGACTGGGTCACACAGTCTTCACCCTCCCTCATGTATAATCATATAAATATGCAAACAAAATCTCCGTTTCATTCATTTTACCCAACAAATGAATCTGCCGAATTCAACCCCGCACCTTGTCTTTTACAGGAAACACTCATTCCAATTCCTTGTGTCATGTTTCCAACTGAAATTCCCACCTTGGGCATGAAAAAAAAGCCCTGATTTCTCATATCACTGGCAATGTCAGGTGTGGGGGGGGGGGTTAGTGGGGAGCTTAAAGAAACCTTGATTCAGCATTTGCAGTAGTTTCCTTTTGTCGGCGTGTGCGTGTGTGTGCAAATTTAATTTCTGGGTGTCAATCTTGTGGCAGGGCTATTTTATTTGAAGGCACCAAACAGCTGCCGCGTGTGTGTGTGAGAGAGAGAGATGGGAGTCTGATTTTGGGAACAGCGGCGTTTAAAAAAGAAAACGCATATTAGCATTTAAAATCGGGCTGGTTCAGTTTAACTGGGCAGTCAAAGTTGGGGTAACCAGCCGCGTCTGTCTAAGCGCACAACACACATCCCAACTCTTGTCTAAGTGGACAGTTCAATTTACGTATTCTCCAATGCGTTTTTAAAACACTTCTTTCCGCTAGACGAAAACAAAAATTCTCCCACAAATCCGGAAAATGCAAAACAATCAAGGCCACTTAAACATTTTTTTTAGAAAGCCAGTTGACTCGCAGGGCGCTGTTTATGATTACACGTCCAAAAAAAGTATTTACAAAACAAAGCAGCGAGTCAGGTCAACAAAAAGCAAATGTTTGCTCCCCACCTCACACAAACACGTGTGAGACGATCTCACATCAGAGCAGCCTTGAAGCTGTCCCCTCTTCAAAACAGGCTGCCTCCTCAAGTTGCAAGAGAGCCGAGAGAGAAGGGGAGCGAAAATCACCAAAGCTGGTGTGCGAGATATGAAGATAAACTTACCGGATAGCCGTGTGCCCCGGCTCGCCACAGAAAGAGCAGCACAGAATAGGTGAAAACCGCAGCAGACCTGTTGCCGAGAGCCCGGTCCCTGGCAGCCATTCTTCAGCAGAGCTACAGCAGAAACGCATCAAGGGAGAGCTTGGTGAAACCTGGTTGGAGAGCAATTAATGACTTTACAACCTGTGGGTGCAGGCGAGGGGAGCAGATCGCTCCATTTACCCTGATTGACAAGCTAGACTCGCGGTGTGTGTGCAAGACCCCAGCAGGAAAGGAAACCCATTTCATCCCCTCCCAGAGTTTTATGTCTGTGTGCGGTTACTGCATAGTCTTTTTTTTAACTTTTCTCCACACCCTCCTCTCCCTTTCCAAAAGAGACACAAAAGACTATAAGGTGGGTGAGGGGGTGGGGGGGCTGCGGTTTGCAGTCGACCTGAACAAGTATTCAGCTTTACCGATCCACGCCAGTGGCTGAAAACTCAGGAAGTCACTAGGGGCTGGGACCTGGAGCCACCTCCGATCCTGCCTGCCTGTCTGCCTTTGAAGCTTGCGCAGCAGGTTCAAAGAGGAAATGTTTCCTCATTCGTGCCAGACGTGAAGGAGAATAGACAGGATCCTCTCCTTTTTTTTGGAGACAGCAACCTGGGAATTCGAAGTTTAGCAGAAATGAACGCCACATGGAGTGTCTCTTTGCGTAATCCAACCCCCCCGCCCCCCCACCACCCACGTCTACCCACGTCTACCCACCTCACTAACACACACTGTAGGCACTCTCTTTAAACTAAACACCGAAAAATACCGTTTGTGGAGTACTGGGCAAAAAAATAAGATCTGGAAAATGGCTCCTATCTGTAAATCGAAGGAGTGGTTGGGGGGGAACCTTTGTGCTAGTGGAGTTAGTTGGAAGAGGGCCCTGGTTTTCTGGGTATATAATGAAAACCCATTTTCTCATAGTAAAGGAGTGAAGATGCAGCTCGGTTTCTGAGTGAGGACACGCACACACGTGTCATGTGCACATTGAAGCTCAAGGACCTTCAAAGGATGGAATGATTTTGGTTTTGGACCAAATCGGTTGTGATTGAACAGTTTCCCATCTGTATATCCATTCCTGTGGTAATTTACTGAAGGTGAGATGCATCATTGTGTGATGAGAATGGAGAAGGGACTGTTAATGACATAGGCCCAGTCTTCATTGAGATGGTGTCTGGGGTGATATGGTTGGTCAGGTTTACAGCTTCCGTGTCATTTGGGGATTAAGCAGAAAGTGGTGACAAATTTCTGTGTCTAACTAAATTTGAGGAGGATACTCCAAAACGTTCATTGTCAAAGGCTTTTGTGAGGTCAAAAAGGGCCACGTTCTGTTTCTTGAATTTGCTACAAGTTGAAAATCATGTCTGTGATGTCTCACATTGGATGAAAACCATACTGTGAATCTGAAGGGAGTTCCTATCCACTCAGAAAAGGCAGTTGAGGAGAATCCATGGAATTGTCTTTCCTGGAGCAGAGAGCAGGGAAACAGCTCTGCTCAATCAAACTTGTCTCCCATCTTGAAAGTAGAGTCCTATAGCACCGAAACAGACCCTTCAGTCCAACCAGTCCCAGTAGTTTGCACAGTTTCCATATCTTGATAGCCTCTTAACTAAACTATACAGAGACAATAAAATTCATCATCACTTACAATGTGCTCACGCAGCCTTCAACTAAGGGCCAGGATTTCAAATCCCAAGACTAAAGGCTGCCAGGAATCTGTGGTCTCCACACTCCAAAATGCTTTGAAGACTTTGCTTTTGTTCATTCACGGGATGAGGGCTTCATTGGCTAGGCCAGCATTTACTGCCCATCCCAGAGGGCACTTAAAAGTCACCCACCTTGCTGTGGGTCTGGTGTCATATGTGGTCCAGACCGGATAAGGATGGCAGCTTCCTTCTCTAAAGGACATAAGTGAACCAGATGGTTTTCCCAACAATCAACAATGTATTCGTGGTCATCATTAGACTCTTAATTCGAGATTTTTCTTTATTGAGTTTGAATTAAACCATCTGCCATTGGCAGGATTCAAATCCCAGGTCTACAGAACATTACCAGGATCTATGGATTAACAGCCCAGATATAATACCACTAGGCTGTCACCTCCCAGTACAGCCAGTTCCTCAAACCAATGTGTAGTGTTACCCACAATATCTTCTCTTATCTTCCAAATCAGTAGCAAGAAAGGTAGTCCAACAAGCAGCTCTGATGAAGAGTCATCTAGACTCAAAACATTAGTTTGCTCTCTCTCCATGGATGCTGTCTGACTCACTGTGATCTCTAGCATCTGTTGTTTTCAGTACAGATTCCAGCATCTGTAGTAATTTGCACCTAAACAGCATTCTCTCATGGACCAATTGCCAGCATTAAGGCTTTTAACCAGCTCCAGTGAGCAGGACATGTAACTTGTGTGCTCAACACCAGATTCCCAAAGAAACTGCTCTACTCAATCATACGAGCAGACTTTTGAGAGTTCAGGGCCAAAGCTTTAGGGATGTCCTCACAGCATCCCACAAAGGTCAATCCCCAGTGATCCAGCGGGAGTCTCCGGCTTATGAACAACCAACATTATGAAGTTTCAATGAGGAAAGCACCAAACACATCAAGAGATTTTGTTGGGAATGTGCAGAGGTGAAGTCAAGACTTTAGAGGAAGCTCAGAAACCTCGACATAAAACAAAAGCAGACTAGTATTTCTCTCCAAAGTGTTAGATTACCTCAAACAACATGTCTAGGGAATGTAAACCTGCAGTTTTACTCTGCCAATTTAATACCCCTAAATTGTCCTCCAGGGATGGTGAGACTGGCATAGTTCTACCATTCCTGCTGCTCTCTGATCCCTCAATTGAGATACACAAGTACAAAATCTAAGCTGACTCATCATCCCAGTACTGAGGGAGTGCTGCTCTGTCAGACACGTATTGTTCAGGTGAAATGTTAAGCCAGGACCCTGCCTGTAAAAAATCCCATCACACTATTTTAAAGAAGAGCAGAGCAGAGCACTGATGTCCAAGCAATATTTGTCTCTTACCACACAATGCATTACTGCTGCTTCTGGGAGGCTGCTGTGCAGGTTTAGCTGTGGCATGGTGTTATTGTATGTGGTCTTAATCGGGGAAAAGTAGGAAAACGGAATCGGTAAGACAGACAGTCGAATTGTAGTTTAAAAAGAACTCAGCTGGGGAGGATTGGCTGGTGAGAGAAGAAAAACACAAGTGTCATATACAGACCACACAACTTTTCTGGATCCTAATGCAACATCCCCCGAGATTTAACTAAATGAACGCATTGTGATACTGAAATATAGAGATTGAAAGGCTTTGGATTGAATTTCTAGGTTGTTCTGATATAACCAGTCTCACTCAGAACTGGGGTGAGGTCCACAACTGGACTCAATATGAGGAAAAACCAGATCAGTCCATCACTCCTTATCACCGGAAGTAGCCTGTGCTAGAATGTGCACACTTGTGGCTCACAGCTAAAACTCTCTTCTTTCCCATCCCACTCTCCCCCAAGCTAGACATTAATGTCCCAGTTATATCTGATCTCTGTCAGGTTTGGGGAGGGGTTGGTTATATTGGTTTCCCCACTGATTTAGGGCTGCAAAACAGGAGAACCTCTGTGAATTCCAGCGGTGCACATGGAATGTGGCTAACTAGATACATGTCCATGCTGCATAGCCCCAGAACACTCCCTTAAATTAAATCAGGACAACAGGACACAACCTCACTTCTTTAAGGACAAATTAACTCCTTCATATGGAAATTGATTAACACATAGATTGGGCATCCTGATACAATTACGGAGACTATTAAAGCCAAATCGTTTCAGAATCAACCGATCAGAGTAAAGGACAGATTTTGGAGGCAATTTCAACAGATAAAGTTAGGTTCACTGTTTGAGTTTCCTCGAACATATCCAACTGATGCTTTTGTGGCCCCCTTAGTAGCTCAGTGGGTGGCAATCTCACCTGAGTCACAAGGTCATAAAGCCCCACTTCAAAGAAAAGCACAAAGTTCAGCCTGACACTCTCCTGTGGTACTAAGGGACTGCTGCAGTGGTGGAGATGCCTCTTTCAATGAGGCTTCAAACCAAGGCCTTGTCTGCTTTCTCAGAAGGTTGTGAAAGATCCCTTGGCACTAATCAAAAGAAAGGAATAGCTTGGAAATATTCATCCCTCAAATAACAATGCATTTCTGTTTCTCAGAATCTTGCTATGCACAAATTGGTGGCATCATTTTCTACACTATGGTGGTGACTATATTTCAAAGGTACTTAATTGTCTGCAGAGAGCTTAGGGACACCCTGGGGTTATAAAAGCTGCTATACAAATGCAAGTTATTTTGTTTTTCTTTATTTAACAGTCCCTAAAAATTATTGAATAACTTGGGACAAGCAGCGCATGAGGTGACCTTGGATGCAAGGTTTGCTACACGAACCCGCTCACCCAGAGAACCGACATGATCTGCGTTTAACAACAAAATACATTTTGAAATTTGCAATCCCTCACAAAAGACAATGAGTGGAGGCACCATCTAGACCCCAGCAATATGGTAACTGTCCTATTGTAAGGATGCCATGACCACATTACTTACAGTCCATAACTCAGCACTGAATGAGGCATTGTTAAGAAATTTAGGCAGAAATTCAGGCGTGCAAAAACATCTTTTCCATTTCCTTATTGGAGATTCTAAAGTATTAATACAGTCTAACTCACAAGAGTAAATTCTGAGCAGAATACTAATAAAATCAACATGGGCCACAGTCACCCTTGGGACCAGTTCCAGGAATTCCCCTTTGAGTTTTTGGGATAAGTGAATGGCCTCCCATCGAATGTGGGCCAAGTCCAAACTACTTAAAAAAATGCACCACTCCAGACTGGCTGATCTCCAACTCTCTACTGCACGAAAAATAAGAAATCACAGTTGATCCCAGCCCAAACTCTTCTTTCGACTGAAGGTTTTTTTATGTTGAAATGAGACCTTCTGAGTCAGCCCTGGTTTCCAACCTGGAGCTGGTGGCCATCTTAATCCACCTGAAATAAATCACCTATTTTGGCACGGATCAAATTAAAAA